TATCGTTGTAGATTTATTAATTTCATAATTTCTAATTTTTTTAATATCTATCTATGCATGATGCAAAACTTTTCGATGTTAAATTGTGTGTTCTACTTTGCTTTTGTATTTTTCAGTGATTTTAATGAGAAGCGAAGTAGTAAGAATGTGTTGAAGTCGATTTCATGCGGCGTTGCAAAATGTAATATAGAAACTTCCTAAAGAGAGAAAATCAAGGAAGAGAGACGAAATAAATATAACTTAGAGTGAAACAAAGAGGTGTAATTTAATTTGTGGAGAAACGTAAGGGTAAAAGAGAACGAAAGAAAGATAAAAGCAAAATGTAGGGAAAGAATAAAGAGATAGAGGTGAGTATTTTTTTTTTAATAAAAAACTATTGTATCTGGGAGCATTTATTTTAAATTCAATCTAACGGTGATAAAAGATAATAATGGTGAGAGGAAATAGATAGCCAATATTATGGCTCCAATTGGTTTCTGCGAGGTGTACTTTGTGTGCTTTTTAGTTCCAATATGCAATTATACAAAGGGAAAAATGATTCTGCAGTTAATGCAGATAACTTATCTGCATTTATTCTCAAAACGACGTCGTTTTGGTATTAAAATCTTAAAAAATTATAAATATAAAAATTATTATAACTCTGAAATAAATTAAAATTACAAATACACCATGATTTTCGCTCCAAAACGACGTCGTATTGGGCTTACTGCAGATAACTTATCTGCAGTAACTGCAGAAAAAGCGAACCCTTATACAAAATATTTTCCAAATTTTTAAAACTAGTAACAAGTTAATTCTTTCCTTTAAAAATTCCAGAAAATTTTAAGTGCACATTTGTCTCGTATGTTTGCACTTCTAGTTGAGCTTTTGAAGACCAACTAATGAAAGGACTAATAACTTGTTAGCAGTTTTGAAATTAAATTCAAAGATTATTTTGTACACAACAAACTTTTAGAGATTAAAAATGCACAAAATATATTTTTCATGGATCAAATTATATATATTACTCCAAATTTATGATTCAAGGTAGAGTTTAGTAGTTGTCTCTCGTTTATGTTCTAGTCTCTATAATCTGAGCGGTTGAGAAATTAGAACTCGGTTTATATCTCTCAAGGGATAGAGTATATCTTATTGTATAGGGTTTCAAATTAAGTAGTAGTAGTATGAACTAAAGCATAAAAAGAATCATGGTAAGTGTAATTTCAGGTAGGGCTAAGAGAGGGAAAATGTGTAATAGCACGATACCTCTTGAATTCAGTATAATAATAGATCATGAAAGTAATGGATGCAAGATGTTCTTTCAAGGGGAGAAGATGAGTTTATATAGGTGAGAGATATTCCCTAACGATATGAGAATGAGAGAGCCTAATTATTTTACTCATTACCTCACTGTTGTGAGTGAAGATACGCATCACTACATATATGTGGTGAGTTGTACAAGAAGTGATAAATCCTCTATATTGAGGTCCATATGCTCACTATGAAAAGGCAATCATGTGACCCTTTAACGGGCCTTTGTAGGCCCGCCCAATTTGTTGAGTTGTGAAGGTCGATCCAGAATGAAAGTTTTTTTAACTTGGTAGTATGCAGGGGTGATAAACGAGTCAGAGACCTTTGGCTCGGCTCGTGAAGGCCTAAGCTTACATGCCTAATATTAGTTGTTGAAACCAGGCTTGGACTTGTATAAAAGCTCGTTTAGTAAAAAGGTCTCAGGCTCCAATTCAAAAGCTCGACTTTGGAGCTTCTCAGACTGACCTAGCTAGTATATTAATTTTTATTTTTTATACTATTTGTAATAGCTCTCTCTCTCCTCTCAATCCACTTCACCCCCTATTTTACTAGTTAAACAGACTTTTAGAATGATTTTGTTCTATATTATGCTGTTTGGATATACATTGAATTTATGAATATTTATAAAATTGCTAGTGTTGTTAATTGTATATTCTATTTGGATAAATTTCTGTTGTCTTATTTTTTTAACAGGCTAACAGACTAAATTAGACTTTTTTTATAAATAAGACAGGCAACATGCCGATAATTATATTCATAACAGGTAACAGACTTAGTAAGACCGACATATTTAAACACAGACTTAGTCTTTTAAGATCAAACTCGGCTCAGCTCGGTACGTTAACACCTTGTAGTATGCGAAGTCAATATGAATGAAAACTCCGTCCAATTGTCCATAATGTGTAGTGTTTAGGGTTGGATACAATAATCTGACCAACCAATATTGAATATTTATGTCGGTCTTCCTGTCTTGCTTACTTGAGTAGTGGTGGCGTTCGTTATATTCGTCGACAAGACTAAGGATTTGTAGCGTGCCTTGTTATTCATGGTATGCAAGTGATTTTTTTTTTTTTTTTTTGTAAATTGGTATGCAAGTGAATTGATGCTTTATCTGATCGTTAATTCTTTATTAGTGGGACTCCTCCTGTGATGGATTTATATGTGTGTATACTGATCGGTTCATGACTTGTGTTGTTTACGACTAGGGTTTGTCTGACTTCTTTTCATGACATAGTGATTAATTGTCGTCACGTGTCGTTTTGAGGAACAATTTACAATTATTGATATGGTTCTTTTGAAAACCTTTGGCTATTAAGATTGGTATTCTAATCATCTATGAATAACTTTGAACGAAATAAAAAGTTTAATTTTGACGTACTTTCAATATAAAATAATTTTACATTGTCATTCGAAATTTGATAACACACGAAACATCAATTAGGGTAAAACTTTCATAATACTCTTTATATTTAATAATATAAAGAGTATTGAATGAAAAGATTATGGGAAAAATGTTTGTTATTTTAAATGACATAAAGTTATGTCATTTTAAGAGAGATAGACATAGAATAAATTTTTTATTTAAATTTTAAATTAAAAAAATCATCCACTTTATCTTTTCCATGATTTTCATTTTCTTTATCTATCTCTCTTCTAAAATGACATAATTATGTCATTTAAAATGACAAACACCAAGTCCAAAGATTATATCTATAAATTTTTTATTTACAAACTGTATTATATTTTACTAGTAAGATATTTTGGAATGAAATTGTTATTTTAAATGACATAAAGTTATGTCATTTTAAGAGAGATAGACATAGAATAAATTTTTTATTTAAATTTTAAATTAAAAAAATCATCCACTTTATCTTTTCCATGATTTTCATTTTCTTTATCTATCTCTCTTCTAAAATGACATAATTATGTCATTTAAAATGACAAACACCAAGTCCAAAGATTATATCTATAAATTTTTTATTTACAAACTGTATTATATTTTGCTAGTAAGATATTTTGGAATGAAATTGTTATTTTAAATGACATAAAGTTATGTCATTTTAAGAGAGATAGACATAGAATAAATTTTTTATTTAAATTTTAAATTAAAAAAATCATCCACTTTCTCTTTTCCATGATTTTCATTTTCTTTATCTATCTCTCTTCTAAAATGACATAATTATGTCATTTAAAATGACAAACACCAAGTCCAAAGATTATATCTATAAATTTTTTATTTACAAACTGTATTATATTTTACTAGTAAGATATTTTGGAATGAAATTGTTATTTTAAATGACATAAAGTTATGTCATTTTAAGAGAGATAGACATAGAATAAATTTTTTATTTAAATTTTAAATTAAAAAAATCATCCACTTTCTCTTTTCCATGATTTTCATTTTCTTTATCTATCTCTCTTCTAAAATGACATAATTATGTCATTTAAAATGACAAACACCAAGTCCAAAGATTATATCTATAAATTTTTTATTTACAAACTGTATTATATTTTACTAGTAAGATATTTTGGAATGAAATTGTTATTTTAAATGACATAAAGTTATGTCATTTTAAGAGAGATAGACATAGAATAAATTTTTTATTTAAATTTTAAATTAAAAAAATCATCTACTTTCTCTTTTCCATGATTTTCATTTTCTTTATCTATCTCTCTTCTAAAATGAGATAACTTATGTCATTTAAAATGACAAACACCAAGTCCAAAGATTATATCTATAAATTTTTTATTTACAAACTGTATTATATTTTACTAGTAAGATATTTTGGAATGAAATCTTACATGTAAAAAGTTTATTAATATAACTCTCATTATAATTAATATTGCTATTCATTAATCTGGTTAAATTGTCAATTAAAAAATATGCAAATAACGCAAACTGGTCCATTTTACCACACTAGTCCAATATATCTCATTTACTAAGAAAGGGAAATAATAATATCATGTTACATAAAAGAATTATCTTATGTCATATTTTTATAGAATTTCGTGCCAATTCTTTCTTTTCTTTTTTCCTTTTTACATTTGGAACCTCATATATTTGGGTTACCCACATAAAAATACTATCCCATGTAATATAATATTACTAAACCCCATTAATAGATGGCTTTAGTTTTAGGGGATTGTAGGAGAAAAGTTTTGTTCCTGTAAACACATATTTTTATGGGACTCATTATTTTATTTTTAAAAAAAAAAAATTATTCTTATGTCATATGAGGTAAGTTTTTTACCTACACATCCTTCGATAATCGTGCAACATTTTTCTTTTCTTTCTTTATTATTTTTTAAATAGTGAGTCCTACTATTATGTGTCTATAACATAAGATTTCTTCTCTTATACAACATGAGACTAGATAAGCCCTTAAAAAAAAAAAATCAAAAATTGATACATATGCAGGTAATTATTTTTTCATATAACATTAGAGTTACATTTTCCTTAATTTTATGTATGTAATATGCTATATTGTAAGATGAGCCTTTCTATACACATAACCACACACAAGTTAATAGAGATTACAATTGACTTATTGAATTAATGTCTTGATTTAACGACTAGTTTCATTTTTCAAAATATTTTAAAAAAATACAATTTTTTAACCACAGTGACAGATCCTATAGATTATATAATATAAATAATAACATTGTTGGGCCGAGCAAGAGCATAAACATCTATTCCTCCTTGTACTTGTATTGTACTAGAAGGAACATGGTATCATGATGTTTTTTATCTAATTGTGAGGAACCGACGAATGCAAGAAATGAGATAGATAATCCATAAACTGTTTTGTTTTGTTATTGTGACCACCAGTGAACAATTATCAGAGAAGAGAAGGCATGGGAGTGGACTACTACAAGATTCTTCAGGTAGATAGAAGCGTCAAAGATGATGATCTCAAGAAAGCATATCGAAAGCTTGCAATGAAGTGGCATCCTGATAAGAACCCTAACAACAAAAAAGAGGCTGAAGCTAAATTCAAGCAAATCTCCGAAGCATATGATGTATGACGACCGTACACCCTTTCTCTCTATTCTTTCAAAATAAAAAAGATGACTAATTTTTAATGCAATTTGAAATTTGTTTTTTTATTTTTCTCCCTTCAAAGTTGTAATTTTTATCAAGGGATTCAATTAGATAGTTGGTTTGAATTTGTGGGGTTTGAATCTTAAAACATGTGAGTATTTTAACACAATTCAAACTTGATTTTACATTCTTTTTTTATTCAAAAGTTGCAATTTTCCTGAAGGGTTTTCAATTTTGAGTTCGTGGGGTTTCCTAATTTGAATCTGAAAATGTTGGGTTTTTTTTAATTTAACACAGTTAGAAGATTTGATCTTTTCGTTAGTTTTTTAAAAAAATTTCTCTTATAAGGGTTGAATTGTGAACAGGTTTTGAGTGATCCACAGAAGCGAGCAGTGTATGATCAGTATGGTGAGGAGGGGTTGAATGGACAGGTGCCGCCGCCGGATGCCGGCGGTTTCCCTGGCAGCAGTGACGGCGGGCCAACAACGTTCCGGTTTAACCCAAGAAGTGCTGATGATATATTTTCTGAGATTTTTGGGTATTCAAGCCCCTTTGGTGGAATGGGGGACATGGGTGGTCGTGTTGGTGCCTCTGGATTTCCCATGGGTGGCATGTTTAGTGAAGATATTTTTGCTCAACTTAGGAGTGGAGCTGGAGAGGGTTCTGGCCATGTGCCAAGGAAAGGTGCAGCCATTGAGAGAACATTGCATTGTAGTTTGGAGGATTTGTATAATGGGACTGCCAAAAAAATGAAGATTTCTAGGGGTGTTAGTGATGCCAGTGGGTGAGCTATCTACTCTTACTTACTAGCATGTGTTACTCTCTAATTTCTTGAAGGAAACCTTAGTTTGCTTAAGTTAATGCGCGATTGGCTGGGGTTAAATTTTTGAATTTGAAGCCAAGTTTGATGCTTTGTTTCAATCTGATAACTTGGCTTGATTCGAAGGGGAGCCTTGGCATGGCGATTGGTATTGTCGGGTTTGAATAATGTAATCAGCCTCTTGCAAGTGCAATGTGAGGTTGCCTACTAATAGACCCATCATATGATGGTTCTGAGCCTTCCCTAAATCTTGTGCATAGCAGGTACTTTATATCACCAGCTGGCTCGATCACTTTGATAGATTTGAAATTGGAGGACACATTTGCAACCTCTTATGGTTAGAGCATATATATGATGTTTTGATACTCCCTAGTCCCTAAGGGACTCCGCACATTAACTTGCTTTATGCTGTTTCCATGAACTATTTCGTTAATTTGCTAATGTTATTGAGCAGGTATTTTGCTAGTACTTGTAGACCTTTGTTGTTCATCGTGTTTATAATTTCATTCTAGAAATTAATAAAAAAAAGAGTGTTCCTCACTGGGTAATGTGATTAACTCTAGGCCATATATTCGCTAATGTTTCTTTCACTTCCATTTTTCTTGCTGAACCTAGGATTTTTGGGAATCCTGACAGATGTAGATAAATTTTCTTTGATATTTTCTGTTTGATTAGCAGGAATTCTGACTAAATATTGATTTCTTTTTATTGCTTGGTCATGTGCATCCAGTTAGTGAACCTCACTTTCCATCATTGTTTTCACAAAACTTTTGGCACATTTATCAGCACAAAGTTAAAGCCATTTGTATTCCATGAATGCAAAATTTTCTGGAGGAAAGGCTGCCTAAAATAGGAGACCTATATTTGTGCTGTTATGAATGACTAATAGGCAACCAGGCCATGGAATTTCAAAGAAGGCATTACTGGCTATCACTTTTATGTATTCAGCTTCTTCGTGCTTCATGAAAATTTTATACTTACTTACTTACTGACTCTGGGATTTATGCATAATGCATGAGTTGGTTTACCCTAATATCATTTATCTTGATATTCCAACATAAATCACCTTGTTTATTACTATATGAGTTTGTGTTTTTAAATTGGTCATACTTGAGTGTTGAAATTGGAATAGGTTGTCTTTTCTTGAACTGATGTTGGATAAGCAAATAGAATATTGAGGGAAATGAACGTATACCTACTCACACCAGTGTTATTGCATTGGAAGGGGTTTACAACCTAGCAGCTACTCATGGGGGTAGGTGAATGATGAATCTTCTTAATAAACAGATTCTGAGAATTCCTTTTGCTGTTTCCACTGTAGGCTTTGGTTTAGGTTTAGGAAGATTGTGATTTAAGGGTATGTGACTGTGCCAGAATGTGTTTAAATTTGAAATCTTCGATATTACTCGTGGTTATTACTTAATCTACTATATGTTTTCTTCTTGTGAAGGAGGCCCACCACAGTAGAGGAGATCCTAACTATTGAGATCAAGCCAGGTTGGAAGAAAGGAACAAAAATAACTTTTCCTGAAAAGGGAAATGAACAGAGAGGAGTTATCCCAGCAGACCTTGTCTTTGTTATTGATGAGAAGCCTCATAGTGTCTTCAAGAGGGATGGCAATGATCTTGTTGTCACTCAAAAGATATCTCTTGTAGAAGCCCTGACAGGTTACACAGCGCAGCTGACAACGCTCGATGGGCGTAATCTTACAATCCCCATTAACTCCGTCGTTAGTCCAACATATGAAGAAGTTGTTAAAGGAGAGGGTATGCCTATTCCCAAAGAACCTTCAAAGAAGGGAAACTTGAGAATCAAGTTCAATATTAAGTTTCCCTCCAGGCTTACATCAGAACAGAAAAGTGGCATTAAGCGATTATTGACATCTCCATAAGGGTGGTATGGCTTTTACTACGATTTTCCTAAGTGTAAGATTCCAGAATGTTTTATTCTTGTCTTTTTTTTCTGAATTTTTACATTTTCAAATTGAAATTCTTGCTTGTGAATTGGATTTCAATTATAACAGTTAACTAGAGTTTGATATTTATTAATTGTTTCATGTCTTCATTAGTTTTTGGTAGTGACAATGTTTTTCTTAACGGATTGCCCACTTGTTTATGTTATAAGTGCTGGACGAATTTGTATTTCTTTTGTACTTGCACATTAGGACGGTTCTTATTGTGTGGTCTCACTTTTCTTTGACGATTTCATCTAATGTGAAATACTGTTGTATTGCTGAGTTAATCATTTCAGCAATATGTAAAGAACCTTGAGCTCATCACCCCAAAAGCTAGCTCAAGGGGTGGGAGTGCTCAAAGCCTTATAAAGGCCATATTAGTTGTCCATCCAATCAATGTGGGACTATATATCTCAACACGCCCCCTCACGCAAGAGTCCTTTAGGCTAGAAGCGTGGAAATTGCACAGGCCCATTTTTGGTTTACCTTTTTGTGCTTTTTTATTTTATTTTTATTCCACTTTTTAAAGCGGGGGACAGTTAGGCTCTGATACCATGTAAAGAACCTTGAGGTCATCACCCCAAAAGCTAGCTCAAGGGGTGAGAGTGCGCAAAGCCTTATAAAGGCCATATTAGTTGCCTATCCAATCAATGTGGAACTATATATCTCAACACATGTGCACATAAAAGCTAACTTGGAAACCATTTTATGACTTGACTATCATTTGCATTTTTCATGTAAAGCTCAAATCCTAAGGGAGAGCTTTGGATCAATGTTAAGGATGATTCTGGGTTTATGTTTATGAAACCACCTCTTTTTAAAAAAATGAAGGTATGAATGCATACAACCTATACTTAATTTTCCCTCTTCCCTTTTGAAGAAAAACAAATTATCTATCGTTTGATCCATCGCCACTACATGACATAACTAAAGAGGTTTTGGAGGCTTTGATGGCGCCATATTCTAAGAACTTTTTCCTTTTGCTATGCAATTTCACTTGCCCTTGTTCGTTTAAAATTATTAATTTAATGCAAATAATTGATAATAAGGTGGAAAAAAAATGAGAAGTAAAAGTTTCAAATAAACCTTATATTCAAGGCAACACTTTCTTCATTGTTAATCGAGAAGTTATGTCATTATGCATCCCCATGTTCTTGAGGAAGCGGACTTTAGATTGGTACGTATGCATATCCTTGGCGGCTAACTTAGTGGATAGTTGGACAGATTTATCCAATCGTTTCCTCTAACAATTTGTCAACTTTAGGCCGCAGCCTAAATCTACACAAGCTTTATGCAAAGTTAGGTAGAGAACTAGAAAGTCTTTCTATTGCGATCATGATAAGTATACCGGTTGTGGTCGTACAAGTAATAAAAAAGTGAGTAATGTATAGTTCTCACGAGGATTAGTGTTTCAAGCATTAGTTTATTATTTTTATTTAAGTTGGACAATTCGAATAAGAGATTTGATTTAAAATTAATTAATAATTAAATTAAAAATAAGAACAAAATGCAAAAGCAAAGATCCAAGCAATCAAGAAAAACTTAGTTAGAGATTCAATTTCTCTCAATCTCCTCTTTCCATCCTGAATTAAAACCTAAATAAATCGCCCTTTTTATATTGTTAATCAATTCATCTAATTTAGTTAAAGGGAAAACATTTTCTCGTGTTGTATAAGAATTTAATTCTCATGTTGTGACCCTTCGATTTACGTGTAAAACTTTTCTTTTCTTTTTTCTCTTTTTAATAAATGTGGAGCCCACCATTAGTAGAGTCACAACATGAGAATTCAATTCTCATGCAACATGAGAAAATCAAACCCCTTAGTTAAAACACAATATGTTGGTATTTTAACACTTTACTCCCTTAAGAGAATCCTAACTTCTTGTTGTTTTTCATAAGGATTTAAGCATTAAAATCAAGAATCATAAAAATGGTATAAGGATTGCACGATGCAGATGTTTATCTCTAGATTCATACAAATCAATGATAAATTTACCAACCTCGATTCATATACCAAATCTCTATTGTCATACCTAAACCTTATATCAGTCTACAAGAAGATTGACTCATAAAAGTATGAAGAACAGGAAAATCCATTCAATATGAAAAGGAAAAAGTGCATTAAAGATTAATTTAGAAACATAAAGATCAAATGAGTTCTATTTAACCCTAACTACAAAGAAAACTAGCCTAAAATAGTAGAATTAAGAAATCAAGAAAACAAGAAAGCTTTCCCAAACTACATTGGTGTGATGGCGCGGTGAATCTTCAAGGTTTCCAGCGTAATCTTGCCTCTATCTTGTCTTCGTCTCTCGAAAGCATGAAGAACGCGCTTCCCCGATGAAAACTATGCCTATGGTGTCAAGTCCTTGTCAAGCCTCATAAAAAATTACTTAAATAGGTGTAGGAATCATTATTTTAAATGAAAACCATATAATGTAAAATTAATTACAAAAGAAATCAACATCTCGGCTCTTTATCTATCAGCTTGACTATATCATCCAAAGTTAGAGGATGTGGAGGCATCATGCCTTAAATCGGATGGGGATGGACAAACACCTACTCCCTGCTCTCGCTTGTTGTAAAAAGATCCCCACCTTTGAGAAAATGAAAAACATCTACCTTATCTAAGCCGACCAGAGAAACAACCAGGTTATTAACGTGAACTTGATCTAAGGTTCGGACTTTGGCGACCCACATGTAGTTATCAACCATGTCATCTGCCTTGGTGAGATTAGAGTTCAATTTTTGGATATCAAAGTGTTTTTTGGCAAGCTGTAACTCTAATTCTGAACAATGTCTGGACCGTATGAATAGTACATTATCAAATAATTTTGCTGTTAAGAATTACTAATAATTAATCTCTAATCCCTATTTACCAATCATTTATTATTCATCATTTCTTACACTACTTAAGGCATGTTAAACATCATTTAAAAATATTAGACACAATTTTCAACACCCATTACACATGATGGTTGAAAATGGTCTTGGATGGTTCACAAGAATTTTCAAACATTTAACAACACTTACATTGTTCAATCAACTCCAAAATCATTAAAAGACATATCCCAACATCAAAACACATCATATATTCATGCTTCAATACATGTAAGCGCAGCCCCAAAAATCACAGAATGTTCATGAAACCTAACTTCAAAACACCAGGGTTCAACCATTAGAAATGGAGTTTCTACCTTAAACAAGTCCTATACCATGAGAAGACCAATCTTCAAGCTTTAAATCAACCAAAAATCACCACTTTTGCCACGACCATGAACAGTGTTCGAACCAAAGAGAAGGAAAAATCTCACTCTCAAGGGCTTCCCAATGTAAAATGGCTTATGAGTTTTACTCACAAGGACCTAGGCCACAACTTTCATGTTAGTCATTTGGCTTGAAAGTGAGCAAAGCAAAAACGAAAATTGGAGGAAGAGAGGAGAGGGGTGTCGCAGGTTTGCAGGGAAATGAGAGAAGGAAGAGAGTGAATAGTGACTCACTTAAGTCACTTAAGTGTTTTAAACACATGATGTTGACTTTGACTTGTATACTTGTTTAATTTCTTGTTTTCATGACTTGTTACTACATGACTTGATAGTGCAAATTATTATATGTCAACTATTAGTGATAGAAAAAATATTGTTGAGAAACAATGGTTAATTTTATATTTCTGTTAAGCTAGAATTGTTGAAAATGCAACCACTTATGTAACACCTCGTTCTAGAACCAGTTTATTAACATCATTTATGATATTAAGCGTATTAAAAGTAGAGCAATTAACGTTATAATCAAATAATATAGAAATACAATCAAACTTTTTCTTTCTTTCCATAAACTAGACTTACATAAAATCATTTAATTAGTGCCTAAACACTTCTATATTATCATATAACAAGTCCCTTTTTCATTAAATTATTATATATCAACGTTCCTCAGTTTTACGCTGCTCGCTATAGCGAGTTTGAATCCGCGAGAAATACCCTTCCTCGCTGGTATGCTTACTACAACGAGGGAATCAGCGAGCAGGCTGTATTTTGCAAAATAATCCCTTTGCTTTTCCTACACATCTAGGGATACATTACCTATTTCTTTATTCTTAAATTTACCTAATTGACTAATATATTAATTCCATGATAAACATATAATGGCATACATCAACCCAATAGATTACAAACTATCATTGACCTTTCTTTCTACATTAAAATTACACATTCATCAGCATGCCATAACCATTCCCCAAAGATACAATTGGACCTTAATTACACTAATATCCAGTTCACAAATGACAATTGGCAATGGAATTTCACAAGTTATTTACATAAACCTTTGTAAAAGGTAAATCAAGGATTTTACCAAAATAAGTTAACATCATGATTCAATGTTTACAAAATACATTAATCCTTCCAAAATCTTGATTAACACATATACCAATAATCCCAACATAACCATCCAAGCTTAGTAGCTCTTCTCCTTGACATAATTACATATATAACCAAAATATGCAATCTTACAACTCCAAAATATGACATAAGCATGCCACTATGTCAAGGGGTACACAATTAAAACATAAATGCCAACATTACCTACTCGGGGGGAAATATCATTTGTGCTACTCGGGGTACCTAAAAAATAATCTACATGGGGTGAGATATAATCTCTTTGAACTCAAGGTCCCCAAAGACTCCTCTAACCCTGAGCTTACTTCCATGATATGCAGGCATTAAAATGGCATATTGCAACAAAGCTCATAATTATTAGCATATAACCACACAAGGTGTATCAACACCAACCAAGCCGTTCCTTAGGTCCATCAGCCATCCCTGGAATGCTGGTATCAATCAATTCTATTGACCAGAGAATCTATCCAATCGTGCAGACATACATAGTACATTTTATTCTTAATCTTAAACAATAACACTCAATTTCAATACCAATACACAATATGCCATACAAACCATAACTCCTCATGGAGTGTTGTGGAACATCAAGGGGAAAAACCCTCAAGGTCCAAAAGTTTACCTTTCACGGTGTTATCCTCTTGCTCATATTGTTCCCCAAAACAGTCCCAACACCAAAAATAACCTACAATACATATTCAAAGTGTGTTGT